GCCGTTTTTATGCATCTTTGAACGGCGTTTTTTACGGCGTTCTCTGCCAGCTGTAACGGCGTTTAAAACGGCGTTTTATTGAAATTATGCAGGGCACTCCCCATGGTTCCCTCATCCAATTACTTTCAACTCATTTCACCCAATCAAAGAAGAGGAAGTGCAGACCACAGAACGTCACATCACTAGTAATGGCGCGAAATCAGACGCCACAACCTCTGGGTACTTATCTCACAGCTTAAAAATGCGCAGGTGTTCCTATCATCGTAGCATATTAACGTCATTGTTCTTCACCTTAAGGTAAGTCCCATCTGTCTTTAACTTAGAATGTACTGGAACATTCGAGTTTACCGGAAGCTTTAGTTTCTATTAAACCTCTATTAACTTCACTCTACAACAAGTAGCTTCTGTTGTTGTAGAGTGGACGAAGGAGAAAGGACAGTGGAGCGCTTTAGTTGCAAACAGAGAGTAACGTCAAGGTAAGTCGGACCTATAGTTAACTAGTTTATGGATTAAATGAAACTGAACTACAATTAAAGGATTAACACCTATGTTTAGTTTAACGTATGTTTAGTTTAAACCAGACAAAAAATGCCTCTAAGCGCCACAATTTCGCTTGTTATTTTAAATTACATAAAAAATGTAGACGTGATATTGATTATTTGATGAAAGAAAACTTTTATTTGCGATACGTTAGGCCGCAGAAAGCCCAAATTTTAAGTTACATCAGCCCAGACTGCGTGAGATCACGGGCCACACCGAGACAGCGTGTTGCGGAGTCAAGGGGTTTGGATGTAACAGGTTACCAACTGTTACTCTCCTTTAGACTGCTAAAATGTAGATCATAGAACACCATCCATCCATCCATCCATCCATTCGCTTCCGCTTATCCTTTTCAGGGTCGCGGGGGGCGCTGGAGCCTATCCCAGCTGTCATCATAGAACACAGATTTGAAAATTGATCGGTTACATCCGAAGGCTATTTACCACCACGAATATTATTCAATCAATCAAATTCATTTCAATTTGTACTGTCACAAAAAAGTGATTACTGATTATAGAAACGAGGCCTCTAAATGTAGTGTTTGAAACAGTGTAGTACATGAAACATTTTATTGCCGAATTATCTCCAAAATAACTCTTGAAACGTACTCGGGAGTTGATTAGTTTCGGGTATAGGCAGGTGTAACTTTTGTTCCTGAGAAAAAACAAAAGAAGGAGAAATAAATGTACACAAACCATCAACAATGGCAAAATGTTTTAGAATAACCATCCGTGTTTATAACACCATCTTACAAATAGTTTGGCTACAAAATGGAGGTTCGCATTCTTTATCTTATTGTTTTAACCTTTTGAAATTCAGTGAATGTAATTAGAAATGAACGATTACTTTGATCTTTTCTTATATATTTGTTTTTTTTATCTATTGAGAATAGTTGCACTGATTTATAACTGGCATCCCAGCCGCTGGACTTGAAGTACTGATTTCCTCCTGTAATAAAATGGTAGGATATTAATAATAAGTCATTTATATACATTTACCACATTATGCTATAGTTTCTGAACTAGTTGTGCATTAATTTTACAGACCGGAAAGGAGCCACCGCGACAAGGTGTGGGGGGTTCGGTGCCATCGGTAGTCCTTGAAATGCATGAAGGTGAAGAGAGTCTACATATTCCTAATGGCCGTGGAGAGCCCTCAAATCATGGTAGGAAAAGTGAAATATTAAGCAGTTTATTTTCCACTTAATTTTACTTTTCTGGGAAAAACAAGCTTTGTAGAAAACACAGTTATTCTGAGACCTGCATTAGATAGAGATGCACCAAAATCATGTTTGTTTGTTTTTTATGATTTTTGTGCAGTAAACATAATCATATTGAATGTTCTTTTGAGATTAACAAACACAGTACACTGGTAGTGTTAGTAATTGGAAATTAATTATTCATTTGTTCACCTGGTTCCGTAGCTGCCTCGTCTGGTCCTGTCTCGTCTGGTCCTGTGGTTGCTACACTGCCATCTGATCCAGCTTGGCCTGTACTACCTAATGGCTGTGGAGAGACCTCAAATCGCAACTTTACTGAAGAGTCCTGTGTCACAAATTCCCACAGTCGCTCCCACAGTTCAGAGAGACAACATAAATATTATGATTACAGTTCAGAGGGATCAGCTAACGTGCCTCATTTTGTGTTAAATTATTTTGGGAAATATTTTGTAACAAATAGTCCAGGGCTTTTAAATACTAGCAATACACACCCTTTACATATTTTGGGCAGTTGTTGTAGCCACAATTTGTGTCTAGGGCAGCTCTGCAATCAAAGTGAGATAATGTCTAACATACATTGGATCTTGCCTGTGAGACAGTACTCTCCAGTTAAGTCACAGAAACGATTTATTTGTTCCGATTACATACTGCAGATTCATTATATTGTGTCAAATTGTTTTGAGAGAAATCTTGTACTTGTAACAAATATTCAATTCTTTTTAAATACTGACATTAAACACCCTTTACATATTTTGGGCAGTTTTTGTAATGGTAAATTGCTCATATCTCCTCATGTATGGCAATATGGCATACATAACAATAAATTGTTGGAGCTCAGTAAATCTGTTTGTCAAGTAAGAACAAGGAATGGATTTGGAATTGGAAGTGGTTTTCTCCTTTTTAAAAATTTTATCCTTACAAACTTTCATGTTATTAAACCTTACTATGATTTTAAAACTGGTCAGCTTACAAATGGTGTCGCTGTTACTTTTTCACATGAAATTCAAGAGTCAGAATGTGATCTTATAAATGTAGTAGGTGTTCATTGCTATGAATTTTGCAACAATTTCGGTAATAAGAGTGACTGGGTTTTGTTAGAGATCGATGACAGTATGCCATTGCCCAATGGTCTTTTACCACACATTAAGTCAGTTTCTGACACTGAATATTCTAACATCTTCATTATTGGACATCCTAATGTGGAAGTAAAACAAGTAGATGTTTGTTCAATTGTTTGTCCTGAGAACCGCAGACAGGTTGTGGAGGAGAATTGGAGGAAAAATCCAGGTTCCGATGATCGCATTAATCTTGTGGTAAAAGAAATTCCAGGACTCAATGGCAGACTGACATACAACTCTAATTTCTATCAGGGCTCTTCTGGTTCTCCTGTGTTTAATGAGGAAGGTAGTCTTATTGCAATGCATTCGGGAGGATACTTTTATCGTGATGCTAAGGGTCAGCCTCATAGTCTTATCGATTTTAGCTATCCTTTATCTAGCATCATAAAGCAAATTGAATTGCAAATGGTTTAGAAGAAAAGCTTTTACATGTTGATTTCCTAACTCATGTATATTGTAAATCAAAAATAAATTGAGTGTTGAAACCAAACTGCTTTCTGAGCTTTATTGAACAAAGCCTTTCTTAAGGGATCACCAATTTATAGCCACACTGAGACAGAAATTTATGTGTGCACAATTCTATTTACTTTGCAGTTGTAGCAAATTTTCTCACAGTCATGGAGACACCTTTTTGACAACCAAGGCTAGGGTCTGGCAGGGAAACTCTACAATTAGTTTAAAAAATAATAATAATCAAACCCTGTACAGCAAAATAAACCTGCATCTTTAGATCTGGTCAGTATTCTGTTCATTGTGTGTAGCGCAGATATTTACTGAAAATAAATCTGAAAGTGACCCTGATTCAGGCTCTCGTATGATTAAAAAACAACAGCATAAAAAGCAACTAAACAGCAAACCGTATTTATTTGATATAAACTGGTCATATTGAAAATATTGATAAGGTATGATATTTTGAAGCCTTTCATCAACACTCCATATATATTCAGCCACAGTTGATTCTAAATTTTTAAACTTGAAATAAAGCATGCACAAAAAAGAGAAAAAAATACAGATATAAAACAGTACAAAGGGTATAAATGTAAACCAGACTTATTTGAGACTGTACTGTGTAAATGTCACATCAAAATGAGAAACCTCAACATGATATTTATCACATCCATATTATTTGAGCTCTTTAACATCGGAGCACATTCTCTTAGATTCTTCAAATTTAACCAGACACAACATTGGAAAGTCGTTATTACTTGCATTTCAAAAGCACAGAACCAGCATACATGCATTATTATTATTAATATTATTTATAGTACATGATGCATCAGTTGTTTAACAAAACCTTATGTGAAAGAGTAAATTGAAAAAAAAGTATTAGTTTTTTTGAACAAGTGTCCTGACTTATTAAAAATAACAACTGCTTTTACTGCTCGAACTGTTCTCACTTTATCTTCTGTCTGCAGTTAACCTTCTGTGCACTCAGTTAATATCCATGGGCTCTGGCTGCTCTCTCCGAGAGAAGAATTCAAAGAAAGCCTTCAAACTCTCGTCATCTACAGCCACTGAACTGTTCACTACATTTTTAAACCTTGTGAGATTTCTGCTCTCAACGAGCTTTTTCACATCAACCAAAAAGTTTTGCTGTCGAGCACATTTGCAACTGAGGTATTCTTTCAACACATCAAACTTTTCTCTCTCCACCATTTGAATAATGATGTGCTCAATGATGTCAGAAAAGGGATACCCAAACTCTATGACACTCTGGTTTTGACCCATCACACCAGGGTAGGCATACCCTCCTGGATGCATTGCAACAACATCGCTGTCCTCGTTAAAGACAGGAGAGCCAGACGACCCAAAATACAAACAAGACTCGTAAGTCAGAAGGTGTTTGCGCTGTTTAAGATCAACTGCCACTTTTTCAAAGAACCTGCGAGTAACGAACTGGACAGGCTCTTTATTGTTACTGTAATGCCTTTCCACAACCCGATTCCGGTTCTCAGATGAAACAACCAAACAAGATTCAATCTTTTTCGTTCCACCATCTGGATGTCCAACAATGCTAATTCCACCACTGTGACGAATGAATCCACAATGTGTTAGGAGACCACCAGGCAATATCTGGACATCACTGAGCTTTAACAAAGCCCAGTCAGTCCCTGACACATCAGGTGAGTAATCATAACCAGAAACCTCTTCCACATCTATCAGGCCATCGTTCTGCTCCAGACTTTCATAAGAGAAAGTGACAGTGACCCGCTCATGAAGCCGGCCGTTATCATTACAGAAATCTTTAACAACATGGGCACTTGTGAGGACAAATCTGCTGAACACGAGGAAACCGCTTCCTTGTGGTTTTCCATTTATTCTTACTTGACAAACAGAATGACTGAGTTCCATGAGTTTCCTCATTGTTTTTACTTCTCGGCACGACTGAGCATTGCTCCCAAACTCCCGACGCAAAAGATTCTGGGCGAAATTAAGGTCATGAGCTTGTTTTTTGCTGCTTTTGATTGAGTCTTTAAATTCTGAAGACAAACAATTTTGCATCTGTTTTAAATAAATATTTCCACACAGATTTGGTTTCTTTTCTGCTACATTGTCGGTCTCTGATTCGACTGCGTTAGTCTGCTGTGAAAGCTCCTCATACCCACCAGAATCAACTGCCTGAGATTCACTCTGCAGCACGTAAGCGTCATCAAGACTGCCAGGCTGACTTTCTGGTGGATCAGACTTGTCGAGCAATTTGATCTTAAAAGTTTCATCATCAAGGTCGTCAACCAGATTGCACATCTCTGTGACCTGGGGTCTCACCTGGTGTGATAGACCGCAGCCTCTATGGGTCTTGTGCTCAGAGCTTGTTCCTGTGCTGCCATGATTAATGCCTCTGTGCTGTTTTTCAGTCCAGCTTTGTCCAGCCACTGGTAGGATTTCTGGATGTCAGATGATTCATTTTTACTGCCAGGCGCTCACGGAGTGCAGTCAGCTTCTTCAGCCAGTAGGCATGAACATTACAGGGCCTGGTGCTGTCCAACTCTTCATACTGGAGACCCTGTCTTGGATGTCTGCCACTGTGATGGTTACTGGTCCCTGTTCAGGGAGGTCGCTGTGGTCTGCCCTCAGATCCACTAGCCACTGAGCATTGCCGTTATGGGTTGCATCCTTCTCCCATATGCTCTTCCAGTATTGCTCCATCTCTAGCCTTGGTGGTGCTGTTCTCATATTGTTCCCTGGCCACTGAGAGTACACCTTGGCTCGTTCTGTAGAGAACAGCTAGTTTCTTCTCTTGCCTTCAATCTCTCTGGTGTACCTCTTCGAGTGGCTGGCCAAGGCTGTGAGTCTTTGCTTGGCAGTTTGCAAGGCCTCAGGTACAGAAATAAACTTACCTGGATGATCGAGCGTGCATTTAGAAACTATTGATTTACGTTAATAAGCGAGTGCACACATTTCTGCCCTCTTATCACTTAGATTTCTGAATCTTAAGAGTGAATCAATTTACAGAAGGAACCGCACACCTAGTCATCAAATGTTTGGTAAAGCAGCATGAGTACTGTAACATTTAGTAGGTTCCTGTTAAAAATCACACAAGCATCACACCACATCTGGCATATATACTTCTATTTTATACAGTACACAGTTGAAATTATAAACTATATATTCCAGTCATCCACTTATCAGCAAATCTTGAGTAAATGCATGTTACTGATAAATCACTGCAAGTGTTTTTAACAAACTGTTTCTTGTTGTTGTAGAACTCATCAGCAGCTGTATTTAAATGTCTTCTGTTCAATTGGGCTTACACTGTGCGATTTTTGGCCCTTTCTGAGCCAATTTTTCAGTCGTGCGATCGTTTTGGTGATCGGCCCGATTTTGGCCTTCTTCGTGCGTCGTGCATCGTGTAGTATACGTGGTGTAACGAGAAGCGATTAACACCTCACGACCAGCTCCCGATCATCAATCGCTTGGTCGGGAGATCCTCCCGACCGTCGTGAGGGTGTCACCGCAGCTTCTCACACTGCGCACGCGCAAACATATAAATGTCGGTGAAAAAGACGGAGCAGCACGGCAGTGCAGCGTGTGATCTGGACACAAGCAATGGAGGCACTTGTAGAACTTTGGAAAGCTCATCTGAGCCTTTTCAATGTGGCCTCACAGAATTATCACGACCACAACAACTGTGAAAATAGTTGGATAGACATTGCTGCTCAATCACAGCAGCCTGATCAGTGTTTTTCATTAGAAATGTAGCAAAGTTGATGGTGGTGGTGCGTGACTGAGTTCCATGAGTTCTGTCTTTCAATTACTGTGTGAGTGAAAGACAGAGAGGGAGAGCGAGCGACAGAATTTCTGTTATAACCTTCATTTTTATGGACGCACAGTGTGAGCACTCAGGTCGCATCAGAGCATCGGGCCGTATAGTGTGAGACCCTGCATCGTGACCTACGAACTTCTAACCCCTGCGAGTCAATCGTGCAGTTCGAGCAGGAGCTGAATCGCGCGACTGAAAAAAATCGCACAGTGTCTGCCCAGCTTAACCTGGAAGCCAAGCTTCTGAGTCTTATCCCATGTAGGTGGTTCTTCTATGTTGTGCCGCTTCTTTCCAAGATCCAAGCTATTTCACTTGTGTTTTCTTTGTCTAATATTTTAAGTTGTTTAATGATTTGAAACACTTTTTCACTCCACTGTATGTACGTAGAAGTTCAGTTCGAAAACTATGAACAGAATCCAATATCCACCACGTTTGAATTTGACTTTGCTGGTAATGTGAATCACTGCAAATGCACTAATGGTGAGTTTGTAACAACAGACATGATGCCTGATACTACAAAACAACCCCAAGTGATGCGGTTAAATCCCCTCTCCAAGTCCAAAACACCCGACTTGAACAAAGGTGTGTTTTTTTCTGACAAATGTCTGTTCAGCAATATTTTTTGTTCTATTATTATTGTGTGAATGCAACTGTTACTCAATTCATCTTTATTATTCTGAAGTTTGTATGGATTTTTTGGGGTTGCTATAACTTTTGGCATTTGTTCCTGTTGTTCTTTCTATAATAACCTTTTCTCACAAGAATTTTTAGAAAGTAAGTAGATTGGGGGGAAAAACTCCCTGAAATTAAGATTTAAATTGTTGAAACTGCTACTTTCAGCTGCAGAAACTATTAGAAATTTTAGTTATTGTGGACTTTCTAGTGAAAAATACCATCAGGCAACACTGTCAACAAAGATCACCTATGGCCACTGAATTGTTGAGTGCAATATTAAATGTTGAGATTTCTCCTCTCAACAAGTTTCTTCACACAC